GACTGAGGCCCCTCAAGGGTGGCCTTGATTTTGCCCTATCCCTGTTCCAAAGCCTTCAATGACTGGCTCCCCATACCTATTGAATTAAGGACACACTCCTTAGCCAGGCAACAGAACTACTATAATAGGGCCCAACACACATCGCCGCAGCCTCATCTCCTGCTGTTCCATAATCAGAACCTCCACTCCCCCCTCCCACCTCTTCCCTCATCCCCAAATACAGCCTCCATTATCCTGCTCAGTGCCTTCTTCTTATCCTCCATGTATTTGTCTACCTCCACCCCACTCCCTGTGCCCCGCATGAGAGTCTCTTGAAAGCTGATGTTCTATCTTGTTCTCTCTTGGATCTCCTCCCTCTTGGACCCTCTGCACCCCTCCACAAGGGAGCATGGTGCTCAATGATTACTTGCTGCATGTATGACATGATTCTTCCATCACTGGGAGTGTGGGGGGTGGTGGGTAGACATTAGGTGAAGAGGAACCGGACAGCCTCCTGTGGCAATGCAAAAGTAAGGAGCCCTTACTCCCATCTCCTACTTCATAGTCATAACACTCTGGTAACAAAAAAATACTAGCAGGAAATTGACCAACACGGAAACAGATTTCTTTAGGAGGTAGAAAGAGAGGCAATAAAAAATTTCTTCTTTCTACCTTTTCTAAATCTTTTTTCAATGACTATATGCTTCTCTTATAAGAGAGAAAACTGGAAAATAAAGCAACTTTGGCAAGTGTCCTCAGAGGAGATTTCCTAACTTAGTGAGAGGACATTATACCTTCTACGAGCAACTCCTTGTACCCACCCTGTTTCTTCCACATCTGATCTTGGTTCTTCAAGTCAGGCACATTAGCCGTGCAGCACCCCTGGGGTGCTGGGGGCAATAAAGAGCAGGGACCAAGACTTAACACACAGAGGCTCTCAGCTGAAGATGGCAGGTCGCACACCTCTGCTCCTCCTCAATATTCTGGCCAAAGGGAGTTTTTTCAAGAGGGCGGGGAAGAAACAATGGCGCCATGTGACCTGTGAAGTGGACGAATGAGCAGATGGATTGGCAAACCTGAGAGAGTGGAACGTGAAGCCAGCAGAGAGGTTACAAGCCACTCAACACATCACAGAACCACCAAAGGGCTCTGGAACGGGTGGCAACAGGAATCCCTGAAAGTGGAGGTAAAGTTGGGCTGGACACAGGAAAATAGGTTGATCATCAGTCTAAAAAGCATTTAGATCTCCCTGTCCCTTCCTCCACTCCAGCAGCCAAATGAGGGTTAGTCCTCTGGAAGAGGTGAGCTGGGAACTCTGGGGTGGGGGACCCCAAGCCCAGCCAAAGGTGGGAGTCTGTGCTGAAAACTGGGGCATGAGGTTGATGTTTATGTATTAAGAGACCCTCTCAGTCCTATTGACCCAGAAGATCTTAGAACGTTAGCAGCCAGACTCCTACCCTCTGGGTAACAGATTGGACATTTCTTTTCTGAGTAATCAACAGGCACAAGAGAAAAATCTAAAGATGCTGCAGTAGGGGTCCCTCAGTGACAGAGCTCAACTAAATCACCCTATGAGGAAGCCCACTGGTCAGCACCCCCCACCCATACTCACAGTTTTTAATCAGCCTTTTAGTTCACTCTTAAATATGAGAGAACAACCAAGTTTCATCATGTATATATGGAAAGTCTATAACACAAAAGAGAAAGAAGTATGGGGAAGCAGAAAAAGGAAGCCAGAAGAAATAAAAACAAGCAGGGAGAAACTGAAATAAATAAATACCAACAGAGATATGTAAGAAGATACCACATCTATAAAACAAGACTAAAATGTTACAAAGGAGAAACATTTTGAGAACAAAAGTGTTCTTGAAAATGAAAAATATGACAGCAGAAATTAAACCTTAGGAGGAAACTTGCAAGGCATCTTTAAGAAAGTCCAACAAGAAGACAAAGATGGCAAATAGAAAGCTGTAAAAATTAGAAGATCAAACTAGGAGATCTAACATCCAAATAATAAGAGTTCCAGAAAGTACAGAGAAAACGAAGGGGGTTGATGATCAAATACAATATTTAAGAAAACTTCCCACAATCGGAGGACATGTTTCTAGGCTGAAGGATCAACCCAGCACTGGCACAAGAGATGATAAAAGAACCAAAAAGAAACTCACCAGTTTGAAAAGCTATCTGCACCCCCATGTCCACTGAGCATTACAACAACTAAGATGTGGGAGAATTGAAAGATGAATGGATATAGAGGATGTGACACATACATAAAATGGAATATGAGTCATAAAAGAGAATGAAATCTTGCTGTTTACAACAGCATTGGTGGACCTAGAAGGTACTATGCTAAGTGAAACAAGTCAGAAAGAGAAAGAAAAACACCATATGATTTCACTTATATGTGGACTCTAAATACGAAACAAAAGAGCAGACAAAACAAAAATAGAAACAGACTCATAAATACAGAGAACAAACTGTTGGTTGCCAGAGGGGAGGTGGGTTGGGGGTGGGCAAAATAGGTGAAGGGGATTAGGAGGTACAAACTTCCAGTTAAAAATAAATTAAATCATGGCGATATAATGTACAGCATAGGAAATAGAGTCAATAACATTGTAGTAACTTTGTATGGTGACAGATGGTAACTAGACTCCTTTCCCAGTGTATAAAAACCACTCTGTTGTACACCTGAAACTAACAGGATGTCAATTATACTTCAACTGAAAAAAGAACCAGAACGAGGTGGAACATCATGAAAACTTAGAACACAAAGGACAAAGAGAAGAGCCTGTAAATTTTCAGAGAGAGAGAAAAATTAATATGCAAAAGGTGAGGAATTGGAACGACAGAGCAGCACCATCGTTAAAAGACAACGGAGCAATGCCTTCAGAATTCTGAGTCCCTGTTTCCAATCTGGAATTCTCTTCCAAGTCAAACGCCCAATCAAGAGTGAAGGTAGTTGGGACGCCTGGATGGCTCAGTTGGTTAAGCAGCTGGCTTTGGCTCAGGTCATGATCCCAGGGTCCTTGGATGGGTCCCGCATCAGGCTCCTTGCTCAGCGGGGAGCCTGCTTCTCCTTCTCCCTCTGCCCCTCCTCCTGTTTGTGTTCCCTCTCTCTCTCTCTGACAAATAAATAAAAAAACTTAAAAAAAAAAAAAGAGTGAAGGTAGAAAATGATATATTCAGACACACAGGTTCTCAGAACGTTTGCCACCAGTGTACCTTTTCTATGGAAGTGAATTAAAAATGAGCAAGCCATGAAATCTAGGATACAGGGACCGAACACGGGAGCAAAGAGGAGGCCCCCAAATGATGGGGGACAGTATCCCAGGCCGATTGCTGTGTGCTGGCCCAGTAACCCGTCCAGATCAGAGCAGAGTTAGAGGCTCCAGGAGGGAGACTCCAAGAAGACCTCCCGGGGGCTCCATGTGTTGAGAGGAACGTGACACTTAGGGTGGGGAGTTTGGAGAGGAATCAATAGCGGGTACCTAGAGAGCTAAGCTAAGGGACAAAGAACGTAAGTGCTAACTTCACTCCAAGGAAAGCAGAAATAGAAAGGGTCTGTCATCATGACATACTTCAAGACTCAGCTTTGGACTGTGTTTACATCTTAATAACATAAACACAGTGTAGTTTTAGCGGGGGCGGGCCAGGCAAGGTGGATGAAAAAGAGCTAATCCTTATATTCTACTCTAGGAAACTGCTATGGTCTGAATGTTTGTGGCCCCCTCCCCCATGCATATGTTGAAATCCTAACCCCCAAATGGATGGTATGAGGAGACGGGGCCTTTAGAAATTGCAGAAGTCATAAAGATAGAGCCTCATGAGTAGGATTAGTGTCGTATAAAAAAACCAAAAACCCACAGAGCTCCCCACCCCTTCCGCCACGTGAGCACACAGCCGGAAGGGCCCCTCCAGAACCAGGAAGCGGGCTCTCACCAGACACGGACTGTGCCAGGGCCTTGACGTTGGGCGGCCTAGCCGGTCGAGCTGTGTGAAATAAATGTCTGTTGTTTAGAAGCTACCCAGTCTGTGGTATTTTGTTACGGCAGCCTGAACGGATTGAGACAGAAGTAAATAATACTTAAAATTAAAAAAATGATCAAGTCGCAGTGTATAAAAGAAACCGAAGTGTGTGTACTATTTAATCCCACCCATATGAAGTTCAAGAACTGGCACAACTCGTCAGCGGGGATGGCAGGTCAGAAGAGCTGGCCCTCGGGCAGGGGTACTGAATGGGTCTAACATCCTGTTAGTTTCAGGTGTACAACGGAGTGGTTTTTACACACTGGGAAATACGTCTAGTTACCACCATGATCACACACGTGTATATGAACATAAGCATTCATCAAGCTCTCAGATTGATACGCCTTACAGTTGGATTTTATACTAACTAGAAAAAATGCGTAAGAAAAGCAGCCGAAGCACGTTGTTTAGTGCTAGAGAAGAAACACAAGAAACAGCAAAACAAAGTTGAGAGTGGTTGCGTCTGAGGAAGGAGAGTGGTGACGGGGGCAGGGATGAACTTTTTTTGGAGTAAGCCTTGTAGAATTATTTGACTTTATTAAATTATGTGCATGTATAGCTTCGATTTCTTAAATGCTAGGAAAGAAAAGAACCCTGTTGAGCACATATCCCATCCTGCCACCTTTGTTCTGATCCCTGCCAGGGGCTGCACTATGTCCTTTAGGAAAGGGCTTGGCTGGTCAGTGCCAAGGCGTTGTCTGCAAGGCTCCCATAAATGGACCCAAGACCTAAACGCCTCCAGACGTCGTGCAGTGGGAAGGGCTGGTACACCTTGGCACCAGCCGCGGCGCCCGCACCTAGAGGTCAACCCATGGAGGACATTCCGGGGAGGGCAAGGGCTACGGCCCGACGTCTAGGGGAGGGGTAATGGCTCCTGGAAACTGCCCAGATGCCTGGCACGCAAGCAGCTTTCCCAGACAGCAGCGTCCCGCGCCCTTGGCAGCCCAGAATTAACGCTGAACAGAACGGCGCCCAAGCCCTGGCCTCGCCCCGCCTCACCCCTCCTCCTCACCTCGCAGGTTTCGGATAAAGTCCTCCAGCATCATCTTGCGGTCAGGCTTGATGTTGGGGCTGTACATGTCGGTGTTGAGGAGGATGATGGCAAAGGCGAGGATGAAGATGGTGTCGGGGTTGTGGAATTGTTGGACCACCTCGGGGTTACACATGCAGTAGCGCTGGCTGTGGTGGGGACACAGAGAGGGGTGCCGCGTGAGGCCCTCTCTCCCCTCCCTGAGCTCCAGAGATCGGGGGCTGTCGGGGCCCATATGCTGGCTCTCCAAGGGCGTCGGGTCCCTAATGATGGCTGTGTGCCCTGTAGCCTGGTCCTCTTCCCGGCTGAGGGGACGGGGAAGGTGCCACACAGCCATGGAGCCCGTCACCTTGCTTGGATGAGGGATGAGGGAGATGCCTGCAGTCCACTTGGAGGGCCCAGCGCTGCTCCAGCTTAGCGAGCTCCAGGGCTCCTGTCCCTTTTCTTCCCTTCCTTCCTTTCCACCCAGCCTACCACCCCTGCCGCCCCACCAGGAGGGCTTCTCCCCAGCCCCAGGCTGACCCCCCGCCCCAGCATCTCCGGTCCCCCGTGCCCCAGGCGTGTGTTTTGAGGGCTGGGTGAGGGGAGGGGGTGCTACAGAAGGGGGTCCTACCTGAAGGCCTCTATGAGCCGCTCCACCTTCTGGGCCTCCCCCTGCACGCGGATGTGCGCCTGGAACTTCCGCAGGGCCTCGTCCAGCTCCATGCTGGAGAAGTCCATCTCGTCCACCACGCAGCTGGGGGCAGGTGAGGCGGAGGGGTCTTGAGGAGAGGTTGGCCCCTAAACCTCCCTCAACCCGACACAGCTGAGGAGTAGGGTGCAAGGTGCACCCTCCCTCCCGCCGTGGGCTGCCTGCCCTGGTGGATGGGGGAGGGACTTGGGTCCCTGTGACCACCCAGGAGGGGACTAACTTGGGCCTCCTAGGCCAAATCACCCCCGGGGCTCTCCCTTGAATAACCCCAGAGGGCCCTCCCTCACAGCGTCCTTCCTCTAACGCAATAGCCCCGTGAGGCAGATGGCTGACTGACGTCTCCACTGCACAACTAAGAACCTGAGGCCCAGAGAGGCCGGGGGGCTGTCCAGGGCTGCACAGCCGGAGGATGGCTGATCTTCCGCCTCCAGAGACCAGGTCCTTTCCTCTCAGCCTCAGAGGGTCTCAGAGTCAGACAAAGGCTTGACATAAGGATGAGAACGCTACACTCTTCTGCCCTTGGTAGGAGTCTGTCCATCTCCCTAGTTTCTCGTTCCCACTTGGGCTTCCCGGTGCCTGAAAGCTTCTCCGGTACCAGCCCTCGGTTCTGCCTCAGGCAGGATGGGAGAGGAGCAGGCTCATCCTAATCTCCCTTGCAGCCCAGGAGCCCTGAGCTCTCAGGGAAGCTGTGGCCTCTGAAAAGCAAATGACAAATCAGCTTCACATGGGAGGGCACTGTGTGACAAACACGGCGGGATTCTGAGCCTGGGCCTACCACTGCATTTTTGTGACTTTCAGTCAAGACTCATCTTTTAGAGCCTCAGGTTCTCTCTCTGAGAAGGAACGAGGCCAGAGTCCTGCTCCCCAAGGGCCCCTACACCTCTGAAATGTCACCTCTAGCCCTGGAGAGTCTGCATCTGAATGTCCCCCTTCAGTGAGTGGGGCGAGGTCGGGGACACATTCCAGTGACCTGCAGGTGGCAGTGTCATTCCTCTAGCCTGACCTGCTCCTGGGGCCCCTTCTTGCCACGGGCTCTGGGGCCAGGCCCCTCCCAGCCCCTACCTCCCGCTGCCTCACCCTCCTCTGGGGTGCCCTGGCCCTAGGGCGCGAGCAGTGGGCAGGAGCCCAGGCCTGGCCAAGCAGCAGCCCTGAGTGGCTGAGAACTGCAGAAGCTCACACGTGCCGACAGCCTCTCGGCGCTGATTTCCCCCCTTTCTGCACCTGTGCTGTCACCCGGTCTCCTCTCTCCTGGTCCTTTTGTAGCCAGTCTCATGGTGCCCGCTGCGGAGAGCAGCCCCTCTGCCTCCACAGCCCTGGCCTTTGCTGCCACAGGGTCACAACCCCGGGCAGCTGAGGCCTGGTCGCTGCCCGCTTCCCTGCCCAAAAAGGCGAGGCGAGCTCCAGGCTCGAGCCCAGCGTGTGGCTCAGGGCCCAGCACCCTGGGGGACTCAGGCAACATTTGCCCAGTAACCGCGTGAGCAGAGGGACGAGCCCTGGACAGGACCCACTTCCTCCACACGATCGGTCCCTGTGCAGGGCCCACCACCTAGGAGACTCGGAGATCCAGACACAACCTTGGCTGTGATATCAATTTTTAGGAGAAAGCAAGGGGAGACACCCACACAGCCGTGGTCAGGGGCCTGGTGGCCTGTGGGCTCTCCCTCCCCCATTCCTTCCAGGGGGAACAGGGAGGAGAGGGCACCACTGAGACTTCTAGGAAGGGGAGGCTGGGAGCCGTCCTTGGCTCGCAAGGACAGGGGAGATGGCCATCTCTGGGCTGGGAGCCCATCCATGGCTTGGTCACACCCAGCCTTCTGGCAGGCTTGTCTGCCTGGCTAGTGAGTGAGAGGGTGGCGCTGGGGGAGGCCGAGGCAAGAATGTGGCCCGAGGATGACAACTGGAATTTCAGTGTCTGGCCATTTGAGACGGCAACTGGTGGTAGCAGCTTCCGGGTCCAGCCTGGGGAGAGGCCACTCTGATTTCCCAGCAGCGTGTCACCTCCTCCCTAGGCCCTCCCCACCTGGCAGGTGAGCCCTGAGAGCCACATCATGGGGCCCACATCCACGTGTCCCCTAGCCCAGCCCAGTCAGGAGTTATGAATCGTGCATGACTGACCCAGACAGCGAGGCCGTCAGAGGAGGTGAACCGCTGTGGTCCTGCAGCGAGGGGACCAGGAGCTAGAGCCAGGGAGGCAAAGACAGGGAGGGGGCCGGCATGGAGACAGTGAGAGACGCAGAGGATACAGAGTCAGGTGAGAAAGAGAGGACAAGGACAGAGAAGGCAAGACAGAAAAAGAGAGGCAAGGAGGTGAACGGGAGAAGAGAGAAAGACCCACAAAACGGGGGAGAGATGGAGACAGAGAACAAGAGACAGACAGAGACAGGGGAGAGACAGGGAAAGAGAGAGAGACAGACAGACAGAGAAGAGAGCGGCGAAGGAGGGGTGGAAAAAGACAGGACATGGAGGTGGAGGAAAACACCACGGACTGGACTGGGGCGACACCTGCTCATCGCCGCCCCCACCTGACATGTCAAGGCCGCGGGGGAGGGCAGAGGGCCCCAGGCTGGCCCTTGGTGCCCCGGCCGGGCATCCAGCTGCTGCCCAGGACTTGCCCCATCAGTCTGTCCAGCCCACCGCTACGGGGCCCCTGCGTCCCTCCGAAGTGGCGCTCCCAGAGCCTCTGCTGTGCCTTCTGCCCCAGCGCTCTGAGGGGGTGGACGCCCGAGGCCCCAGGCCCCATGGCGGCGGGGGGAGAGGGGGCAGCCGAAGGAGGCAGTGCAGCAGCTGGGAGAAAGTGGGATCTGCTTGGCCAAGCACGATGGCCTAGTTTCCAGGCCTTCACTCAGGTGACGCACAGCCCGCTCCCTGGCTCGCTCGGGGCTTCGGCCGAAAGCTCCAGTAATGAGAGAGCCTGAGACGCAGCCAGGTGGAAATGCCAGCCTGCAGACTGGGGAGCACTGAGTAAATCGGTCACGGGCCATGGGGAGGAGGGAGGGCCGGGGGGAGGGCTTTGCAACAGGTCACCTGGGCCGTGGGGCGGGGCACGTCTACACCCCACATCCTCGAGGGCCCCTTGTAAGAGTTGTGAGACGGTTCGGTAAGATGCAGATGCCTGAGCCCCATCCCAGATCTACTGACTAGAATACGTGGAGGCGAGGCCTGGCGATCAGCATTTTCCACAAACTCTCTAGGCGATCCTTAAAACCTGAAGACCAATGGCTGAGCTGAGCGCCAGGGCAGGAGGGGGTCCAGCCCATGTGGAGGCTTTTAGACAAATGTGAATCCAGCAACTCACGGGCCACCAGGCAGCAGCTCCTGGGAGCATGCAGGTGCCCCTTCAGGCTGTCAGGGGCTGCTTTTGCAGGGGGAGCGGTGAGGGAGGGATGGGAGAGGTGGAGACGGATGCAGTGCCCCCTTCACACACACACACGCACACACACGTGTGCGCTTATTTCCCGCCTGACTCCCTGAGGTTACTACCGGGGGCATCAGTGTCCTGGGGCTCTCAGATCCCGGGGCGGGGGGAATCTCAATGTGTTCTGCCAGACCCCCAGATGAAGGAAAGAAGCTGTGTTTGGTGGTGGTAGGGCATTACTATCCCCAAGAAGCCAAATGCCTTCCTCTCTGGAGAGCTGGGGTCTGGGCCAGGGGACCTGTCAGGACTGCCCCCCAGTGTCTGAGAAGGACCTGGAAGCAGAGAGGGCCCATAGGCAGCAGGAGACCACAGCATCATTCCTGGCTGGCTTTGGAAAACAGTCGGCAATGACTGGCTGCTTCTCTCCCTCACCCCAGGGGACCACATGGTGCCTTCCTGGTGGGGCCTGTGCCTCCCGGGGCAGCTGGCCAGGCCGAGGCTGTGCTCTCTCCTGACAAGCCTGCCCCTGCGGACCCTCCCCTCAGGGGCCTCGGCCATCCTGCAGTCGCCCAAACCCATGCCCCTCCTCTCAGCCTGACGCTTTTTTCTCTCCCGAAGGGCCAGCTCAACCTGCACGGCGAACTCTTCTCCCTCTCCTCTTCTCTCCCACGGCTTCTCTTATTTGCTGGGTCTACCATAAAATCGCCCCCTCCCCATCCTTCTTTGCCACCCCGGAATCCTTGTGGGGAGCAGACTGTTTGACAGTTTTCCAAATCCATCCTGCCGCCTCCACCCAGGACAGCCCATGGCTGTCTTTCCTCCTTGATCATCTTTAAGGTCAAAAACATCACACGTTTCCGGGTGGTCTTGTCAGGCGTATAATCTCCCCGTTTTGCAGAAGGCAAAACTGAGACTGCAAAGGGGCTTGCCCCATGCTTCCTGCTCTGGTGAGGCCTCTCCCCCCAGTGGGGCCCTCTCCACTCCAACAGGGGTCCAACCCCAGTGGGGGTCGCGCCCTCTGTGCTCACATTTACTAAGAACTGTTCTTAGGCTTCACTTGAGTGCGCCCAGACTTCATCTTCTCTCTCCATCCTGTGTGATGTTAACCATCATCCTGTTATTTTTTTATTGCATAAAAAGAAACAAGCTCACGAAAGGGCCAGTCCTTGGGGCGGGGTGGGGGGTGGGGGCTGCACACATCACATTTCCTGCTGGTATCTCCTGGGCTGGGCAAGCCCACTGCCTCCTTCCCCTCTCCGGGGACTGTGCTAATGTGTCTCTCCCTGGGGGTTGTTGTCTTATCCAGATGCCTGGCGGGAGCCTGTGGGGGGTCTGAAGGGGGGACAACTGGGCACAGTCACAGTCATGTGCCAGGAGCCCCTTCACTGTCAGCAGGCAACACAGAAGCTGCATGGCCATCCCTCAGTTTCAGAGCTGACCTGGGCACACAGAACCCACAACAGGGACCAATCCTCGATCTCCCCTCTTCTCCTCTCTGGTGCTTTCTCTGACCCCTGGTGGGGACTTTTTTCTTTCTCCCCTATTTGGAATAAGTGTCAAACAACACAGACACAGACCCTGTCTTGCTGAGAGACAAATGTGATACCCAGAGTCAAAAATTATTATTTCATTGTAATTGTTTCGAATCCTATGCAGGCAAAGGACAGGCTTCCATGAGAGGATAAAGGAT